TCTTTTGTTATAAATACTTTTTTCATCGTTCGACATTTCTTTTGAATTCTTAGGCCAATTTCCTAAAACTCGCTTGATTGCAGTAGCGATCAATTCATCTTTTTTACTTTCTTTCGATAACATTTTATAATTGAACGCGGCCACTCCCTCTTCGAAAAAATTCACATGCGAAAAATCTGACCCTATCATCTCAGTATCGTCATCTATCGGAAGTCTTGATAATGCATCGCAGTTTGCATTAGCTTCTGATTTTACGTGTTCTATTTGATATCTAAACCCGGATAAATAGTAAGCCCATCTTTGAAACCGATTATCCGCGGTTAATGGAATCCCTTTCCTTGGACCTAGGATTAATTCTAATGCTTTATTATCCGTTCTTAAAATAAATTGTTTCTCAAAAAGAAACTGATAAAACCGTTTTACCCCAAACATTATAGCCATTGCTTCTTTATCTAGTATTTTCCGATTTAATTCATTTTTTGGAATTTTTTGAGACGCGAACGCGATTGGCTTTTCAGTGCCGTCTTTACATTTATGTGATATAATTGCTGACAGACCGTAATCTGAAGCGTCGCATGCCAAAACTATTTTCTCTTTTGGATCAAAATTTACTAACACTTTTGGTGAAATTAATTCATTTTTTACCTAACTAAAAGCTTTTGAACAATTTTCGTCCCATTCAAATTTCTCTTTTTTTAGTAGATCGTATAACGGCTTTAAGTTTACTGATCTATTTTCTAAAAATCTCGCGTAAAAATTTACTAACCGAAGAAAAGATTCTAATTCTTTTACATTTTTCGGTTGAGGCATTGAACAATTTTCGTCCCATTCAAATTTCTCTTTTTTTAGTAGATCGTATAACGGCTTTAAGTTTACTGATCTATTTTCTAAAAATCTCGCGTAAAAATTTATTAACCCAAGAAAAGATTCTAATTCTTTTACATTTTTCGGTTGAGGCGCTTCTATCATGGCTTTTACCTTCGATTTTGCTTGATGCAGCCCCTCTTTATTTATTACAAATCCTAACACTTCTAATTTTTCTTGCATAAACTTACATTTTTCTCTATTTACTCGTAATCCGCATTCTTGTAATCTATTACAAACGTTCTCTAAATTTTTTAAATGCTCTTCCGTAGTTTTACCTGTTACGTAAATATTATCAATATACGCTATCGTGCCTTGTAATCCTCTCAAACACTCATCCATTTTCTTTTGAACATCCGCAGGTGCAGGCGAAACACCCTCTGGTACCTTTGTGTACCTAAAAAGCCCTACATGAGTTACAATTGTTAACAATTTCGAGCATTCTTCCTCTACGGGAAATTGCATGTAGGCATGCGTTAAGTCCAATTCGGTAAAAGTATCTCCGTTTTGAAGCTTAGCAAAAATATCATCGATTGTATGCAAGGGATATATATCCATAATAATATGCGGATTTAATGTCATTTTAAAATCTCCACAAATTCGAATATTACCATTACTTTTGAATACCGGTACTATCGGCGTTGCCCATTCGCTCACGTCGACTGACTTTAAATGCCCCAATTTAAGTAATCTATCTATCTCTTTTTCTATTAATGGTATTAATACATGCGCTACATTCCTACACTTTAATGCAATCGGTCGTGCATCTTTCTTCAAATAAAATTTTGTTTCGCTTTTATTATAAACTCCCGGTGAGGCACTAAATAATTTTTCTTATTTCTCTTTCAATTGCTCACCTACATTTTCAATATTTATTTTGTTTACCTCATTTTTATTCTTTTCGTTATCATTTTCATTAAAATTTAAAGGCCATAATTTAAAAGCTGCTAACCATTGCCTTCCCATCAACAATCACCCAGCACCTGGTAGCACAAAACATTCTAATATGCTTTTTCTATTTCGAAATTGTACAGTTAAATTACATAATTTACCTATCGGCTGTAAAATGCTATTATCATACGTTTTTAATTTTCTTTCAGTTTTTACAATTTTGAAATTTTTTAAATATTTATTGTAACATTGTTCTGAAATTACTGTCGCGTAAGTACCTGTATCAATTTGCATTCTTACATTAATTCCGTTCACACTTACATTTTTAAACATTGGATTACCTTCTATATCTTTGTCGCTCATTACCTGTTTACACACAAATTCTTCATGTTCATTTAAGTAAAGAAAGTCTCTCTTATTTTCGAAACTTCCACCTGCTTCGTCAGCTATCTGGCCGTTGCCCCCTGACTCATCGTCGTCCTGCATGAGCTGTACTCGCTGCTGGTCCTTGTTTTTATTTGGTCTTCGACTCCTGCATACTTGCTTAATTGTCCTTTTCTATTGCAATTGTAACAAACATGATCCTTAAATCGGCACTCTCTACTTAGGTGGTCTGGCATTCCACAACAATAACATGTTATTCCACGTGAATAATTCTTCCTATTATCAGATACTGATGGCTGACGTGTGCCTTGCTCAGTACGCCTTCCCGTACTTTTATTTTTCCAATGAGGCTGCGTGGACCTTAAGGCAAACACTTCTCTTTTTCTATCTTGATTGCCTATTATTTTACTGGTGCCTGATGCATTTATCTCAGCAGCTTCTTGTGCTGTAGCTTCCTTAAGCGCGTCTTCAAAGGGTAATTTTTCTTTTTTGAAAAGGGCTACCCTCGTATCGTGGTTTTTTAAACCAACCACGAACTGGTCCCTTAATGCATCATTTAGGTTTGTTTTAAAATCACACTTCAATGATAATTTTTTAAGCTTTGCTGCGAATTCAGCCACTGTTTCTGACGACTCTTGTCTTGCCGTATTAAAATTACATCTCTCCATCACTTCCGATGGCTTTGGATTAAGATGTTCATTCATAACTTTTACTATGTCGTCATAACTTTTATCTTTTATGTTTTCTGGAGTCAAAAGTTGTTTGATTAATTTAAATGTATCTGTATCCACTTGCGTCAATAAGTTTGATTTTTGCTTATCCGCTTTAATTTCTTTTGCTTCAAAATACATTTCCATTTGCTCAATGAATGTTTCCCAATCATCCTTATGCAGCGAAGAATGAACTCTTCCTCGTTCTCCCATTTCTCGGTCTTCTTCTGACTCTTCGCTGTCGTTGACCTCTGTACTGTCCACGTCTTCCCCGTTGTGAAATACTTCTGAGCTTACAGACTCTTCAGGTTTCTTCCCTTCTGCTTTACTTTGCTCGTTCTCTTCCGATTTGCTTACGTTTTCTGTCGACGTGTCTTTTGGTTTCGTGGCACCTTTTGCTACTTTTAACTTTTCTGTTAGCACTTTGAATTGATTATATCTAATTTCTTCTATGACTTGTTTCACTACTTTGCGTAACTCATCTATGTCTGCAGGTTCTAATATGCCTCCAATTTCATAGTCAAACAAACTTTCGATTAAGTCAATCTTCTCTTCTTTTTCTGGTTTTTTCACTATCCCACCTTTTTTAACTATTTTTCTTATCTCTTCAACGGTAAAATAATCAAAAATCGTCACTAGATTTTCCTTTGTAAATTCAAATTCTTCCAAAAATTCGATAAGTTCTTTTTTAGAGACGCTATGTACCCACGTCGGAGATTTGTCTAACACGGGTCTATTCCAATTTGACATTAATGCCACTCGTCTTCGCTTAATTTTTCAATAATGTATCACTTTTTACTTGAGTTGCGCGCGCTTTAACCACATCTGCACCTTCCTACAGATACCCGAATATACTGTTAGAAAACTTCCATATGTTTTCCCGTCTGCACCCTCCTGCAGTTTCACGGTTTTACTCTTATTTTACTCTTAATTTCTTAATTGCACTTTTTTTTTCCTCCAATCATCCTCGTCGCCATTGTAGAATATCGGGTGGTTAATACATTAATATACACTTATTTATTTATACATATATATTTGATGTTAATAATTGGTGTTGCACATGATACATATTCGTGCGCGTCTGCATAGCAACTGCTGCATGTGCAGTGTTGGCGAGTGCGACGAGGCTCACTTCGCATAAACGCTGACGCAGGCGTTTCTTCATACCTTACAATATAGTAATACTACGCGTGATAATCTGGAGCTGTGTTTTGGCGCGTCGACGCGCCACCTGAACGAGACTCTCGAACTAGTTCCACGTTTTTGATTGGTCGAATGAATTCGTGTGTTCCTCGAGATTCACGATTTTAAACCGGGTGAACACTCAAATAGGGAGACTTGAATCCACCCTTTCTTACTGCATATTACATAACCCGTAGTAATGAGGTAGTAAATTTTGCCGATGTTAATTCCCTTAATATCCATATAAAGCTTTGTAAATAATAGAGTGAGCAAATAAAACTTTAAACAAACCGAGTCACGAGTTCGGAACTCACGTCTCAACCCTTTTTTTTTTTCTTAATTATCAACTATTCTTATTGGTTTACCTAGTTAACTTAAGATTCATTAAATATATGATTATATTAGTCTACAAATATTGTATTATATTACATCGTATAAATGCAATAAATTGGTACATCAAACAGCGAACGTTTCTTCTTCCCGAGAGCCTACCTGTGACAAACACCTATGTTACGCTGTTTCATGTTTTAATAGCATAAATAAGATTTAGATGGATAAAGAAGGCCTTACGGAAAATTACCAAAAACAAAAATGCACTTATAAATCTCGGGCATAAAAATAATGATGAGCCTATAAAAATGAACCAATTATTTTCTATAGTAAGATGAAACGAATAATGTTAGGGATTTTTTTTTTCATTTAATTTTTACCATTCAAGACTATGTAAAGGTAACATTTTTAAAACATCGAATTATTCCTACCGAATCTTATCTGCTGAAACAATTGACATAACGCGTGGACGTACCGTTTAGCACCGGCAAATCTGACCAACGAACCATCCTAACTACCTTTTTCTAAATCAGCATTCACAAAATCTCTTGAATATTGAACGTAAGAACTTAACCATATTCTGCGTATTTGGAGAGCGATCGTAACAATATGTATAAAATAATTGTGTGGGTTTTTTACGCTTTTCATTTTTTTTACCCGATATTAATAAATGCAATTTTTAAACTATCAAAAAGTGAAACAACCTGCCATACGTGCCAGTATTATCACATTTTTTTGTAATCAGACCACGCTGCGATCAAGACATATTAAAACAAAAAATGAAATGAAGAAATGTATCTATGTTAGAAATGCAAAAGCGTTAAGCGTCAAGCGAATGAAACGAGATTTTTTTCCATTGCTGTCAAGTTTTCTCTTACGTCTTTATGAGAGTCCGTATCGAAACAAGTGAGGCTGCTCAGTTCTAGTCCTAACTACCTTTTTCTAAATCAGCATTCACAAAATCTCTTGAATATTGAACGTAAGAACTTAACCATATTCTGCGTATTTGGAGAGCGATCGTAACAATATGTATAAAATAATTGTGTGGGTTTTTTACGCTTTTCATTTTTTTTACCCGATATTAATAAATGCAATTTTTAAACTATCAAAAAGTGAAACAACCTGCCATACGTGCCAGTATTATCACATTTTTTTGTAATCAGACCACGCTGCGATCAAGACATATTAAAACAAAAAATGAAATGAAGAAATGTATCTATGTTAGAAATGCAAAAGCGTTAAGCGTTAAGCGAATCAAACGAGATTTTATTCCATTGCTGTCATTTTTTCTCTTACATCTTCATGAGAGTCCGTGTCGTAACAAGTGAGGCTGCTCAGTTCCACCAGCTATGGATTATCACGTACGAAGGACATGCATTGGGCGCGTTGGCAACGATTTTTTTTCTCTTACATCTTCATGAGAGTCCGTGTCGTAACAAGTGAGGCTGCTGCCTTCCACCAGCTATGGATTATCACGTACGAAGAACATGCATTGGGCGCGTTGGCAACGATTCAGCATCGTAATCGTAAAGTGCCAAGTTCGCGTCTAGTGACGAAAACTTTTTTTTCTTCATTTCTTTTTTGTTTAATTTTTGTTGACCTGGTGCTGCGTGGCTCGCATGGGAGGGCGAAGTTAAAAAATAATGCAGTCCTAAACAAACCACACGCGAAATAAAATATGTGTAGTTCAAGACATTGCATATGCAGTTTTATAACAAACACTTTATACAATGGCATGTGCGCCTCGCTCGAGATTTCATTGTTTTTCATTTGTCAAGTAAAACACATGCAGTTAAAAAATAATGCAGTCCTAAACAAACCACACGCGAAATAAAATATGTGTAGTTCAAGACATTGCATATGCAGTTTTATAACAAATACTTTATACAATGGCATGTGCGCCTCGCTCGAGATTTCATTGTTTTTCATTTGTCAAGTAAAATACATGAAAATCGGGAATGAACTATAGCAATCGTAGAAAAGTAATAGTGAACGGAACCTTTTGAAGAATATGCCGCGAATCCATGAAGGCATACAATGTTGCAAGCAAACTGAAAACATTCTCGCGGCTTCTGCTAGCCTTTTTCAGTTCTTTCGTCTAGCTTGAGAGTGTCAGTTCGCTCTGCGTTTTCAAATCTAGAGTGAATGAATATAAGCGTTTCAAGTATGGAACACGAAAATAAGAAAAAGGAAAGGCAGTATGATTTCTGTGCGTACAGAGAATGTGCAAACGGAAAATTAGGTAATTCGTCCAGCCGCAGAACACTGTTATGAACAAAAGATTTTGTTGGATAAGATGCGAAGTCACCATTTGGAAAAAAAAAATTGTGGTATACTCTTAAATGATGTACACTGAGCGTCATTAAGACGGCAATGCGGCCCCTCACTCGCAAT